TATATATATATATGTATATGTATAAATATATAACATAATAAACTTAATCTACACATTTTTCTCATAGCAAAAGTCCACAAATAAAAAATAGAAAGCAGTATTTGTGATCATGTTCCAACTTGTGAGCTTTTTTTATTTACAAAAACAGCTGAAAAAGATCAAAGTTCATGCTCAATAATCCAGGTAGAAAAATTTATTAAAGTTCAGTCAGATCATCTGGATGGTTTCTTTTTTTTTTTTTAGATGTTTCGTCCTTCATCCAAAGGACTTCATCCGTCCAAGGAGCCCCAACAAACTCAGTCCCACAAGCAGCACAGCCACAAAGTGGACCAACCAGTTTGATGGTGATAAGATGGTTTCTGCTTGTGGGACTGAGTTTGTTGGGGCTCCTCGGATTGATGAAGTCCTTTGGATGAAGGACAAAACAGCAACAACAAAAAAAAAACATCCAGATGCTCTGACTGAACTTTGCAGCTGAAAAAAAGAAATGTAAAATATGCAGGATGTTTGAATGCTAATCTTTTTGGTACTCCAGTGCTCTTCTTGATCCCCCATATTTATTCTTGACAGTTATTTTGCTTGTTTTTTCTCTTTTCTTAAATTTTTACATCAGAATGTTTCCTTTATTTCCATCAAAACATTTCTGAGATTCATTTCACCTCATTTCTCCACCAACACAAACTTGTGTAGGTCACAGTTCGAAAGCTTCCATACGATTTTCAACAGATCCATCTGAGTGCTTTGTTTACACTGAGTGTGGACCCACATTTCATAATGGCTTTCAAGTTTGTTTTTCTGTTTCCTCTTCAGGGATCACCACAGTGAGTCATCCTCCTCCATCTCTGTCCTCTGCATCTTCTGTCCTCTCTCCAACTACCTCCATGTTCTCTAACTGTATCCATAAATCTCCTCTTTGTCTTTTTCCTGGTGGTTGCATTTCTAACATCCTTCTACCAGTATACCCACTGTCCCTTCTCTGGACATGTCCAAACCATCTCAATGACTCTAACTTTATCCCCCAGTTGTTCAACCTGTGTTGTACCTCTGATGATCTCATTCCTAATCTTATCCATCCTTGTCACTCCTAAGGAGAACCTCAACATCTTCATTTCTGCCACTTCCAGTTCTTTCTCCTGTCTGTTCATTGTCACTGTCTCCAAACATTACATCATCGCTGGTCTCAATGCCCTCCTGTAAACCTTTCCTTTGACCGCAATTGCATTCAGTATATCGAGGAAACTACCAGAGCTTCATACCACACTATTTGATATAGTTCAAGTGAACCTTTTTAAATGTTTGATTTCATACTGTCCTGATGCATGCTCAATAATCCAGGTAGATCAATTTAACAAGGTTGAGTGAGGTCCTCTGGACGGATTCTTCTTTGTTGGAACGTTTCTTCTTTTATTAGAAAGACTTTCATTCTGAGAAGCTGCAACTAACAGTCTTAAAAGCAGCACCTTCTCATAGTGGATCAACCAGTTCACGCTTGGCAGTCTAGGGCGGCCCCCAGACTGAACTGAAATAAATTAATTGGGTTTTCAGCAGCCAGAACTAGTTGTTCTTGTGCAAAAGGAGGACCATCAGCCTAACAATCGATTGTTCATGCCCTGATGGCTGCTTGTTATTCACAGGGATTTGAGTGATACTAGTAATAACAGCATTGTATGAGGAGGACAACTGAAATGTAGACCTCCGTCCCTGTTTAACGATGGATGGTTTATCTTCACAAAGATGGTTTCCTTCACTCCTCTCCCAACCCAACATTCCTCTCTATCAAGGATGTGCACATCTTAATCCCTGAAAGAGTGACGGCTGGCCTGCAGAGGAGTGTCGACCGCAGAGTCCTCACCTGATGATGTTGCTCTTCTGTGCTGGACCATCCTTTTGGCCAGTGGTTGCTTTGTTTCCCCAATATAGAACTGATCACAACCCTCCTGGCACTAAACAGCATACACAATATTACTATGTGCCGGGGGACAAGAACTTTGAGTTGAACCAGTCTTTGCCGTAATGTATAATGTAATGCACCCTAACCTTGTTAGGTTTGGTTTCATACTTTGCAAAAAGTACCTTTAGGGACCCATAATGATGTGCTTAATTACCTGATTTAAATGAAAATGTGATGCTTTCTAGATTAGATTGACTTAAACTGAGGGATGTTTAAGGGATGATTTACTAACATTATCTTCAATTGTCCTTTATTTCGGTTGTGAACACTGTCCAAAGCATCAGTGTTCCAAAAGAAAATGTCTTAAATTGGTTCTAGTTCAGAGATAGATTTAGAAATTCACACAGACAAAAGCAAACAAAGGATGCAGCCAAAGACTGTTTCCATTGCACACATGCACAGATGATCTCTCTGCAAAACACTCTCACATATCAACTTGAATCTGTCAGTGGCTCGGTAAACAGGCTGGAAGAAGAGCAACTGTCTGCCAAGATTGGTTCAGAGACAAGAAAACAAAACGGGACCAATTAGAGAGGAATTACTGAAGCAACACTACCAACACAAGTTCAGCGTTAGGTTTCACAGAAACACACACGACAACACAACGAGGCCGAGGCAGCCAATTCCCGCTGTTAGAATAAATACTTATATAGCTCCTTTCTATCAATTCAAGATATCATCTCGGCTCATATCATCGCAGTACCGGTGTCCCACATATTTAACATGTCCATAAGCCAAAAACAGCCTTTGTTCTACCTTTGCTGAAGGGAGGTGACCCCACCTCACTGAACAACTATCGACCAATCTCTAAACTCTGCATTTTAAGACATTTTATCTTACCTCTCCTTCAATCTGGGTTCAGGAAACAACAGCACAACGACTGCTTCGCTGAAGGTTTTTAATGACATTGTTGAAGCATTGGATGCACTTTACTTAGACCTGTCTAAAGTTTTAGAAACTGTGGACCATAACATCTTCTGTCTCAGAAAGCTCTCGGAAATTGGTTTCTCAGAACACACCATTGGTTGGTTCTCTAACTATCTTTCAGATTGGAGGCAATGTTTTCAATGTAATTGTATTTCCTCCAGTTATTTAACAGTCAACAATGGTATACCACAAGACTCATTCTTAGGACCCACCTTCTTTACAATCTACATAGGTAATGTACTGTAGGTCAGAGCATCCCTGATGCATCCCTATGCTGATGACACAGCAACTGTTTTAGCTAGACAGTAAACAACTAAGGCTCTCCAGCTTTTGCAATTTGCTTTCAACATCATCCAGTCAGATTTATTCCGTCTCAAACTTGTCCTAAATGCGGACAATACCAAAGGGATGCTTTTTTCAAACAGGAAGTCGGTCCCAGCAGTTCTTCTTCCGATTTTATCCTCAAATGGTGTCCCCATTGAGTTTGTCGATTCCTAAAAACATTTGGGTGCCTTGGTCGACTCGCATCTCTCTTTTAAGCTTCACAAGAAAAACCTAGTAAAGAAACTGAAAGTTAAACTGTGTTTCTTTTTCAGAAACAGATCCTGTCTAACTCTGAATGCTAGGAAACGCCTTGCATCTGTGACTTTCCTTCCCTCCATTGATTACGGTGACATTATTTATATGAATGCTCCTACAAGCACCCTGCAGATGTTGGATGCTGTCTATCATGGTGCACTAAGATTCATAACTGGCTGTAACTATCGTACCACCACTGCACCCTGTATTCACTGGTTAACTGGTCATCATTAACTTCGCACAGACTCTGTCACTGGTACATTTTCATCTTTAAATCACTTCTTGGTCTGCTGCCTTCATACATCTCCTCCTACATGTCACTGCGTGAGTGCAGCTACAGCATGCGCTCTCAGGACATTATTACCTGCAGTGTTTCCTCTGTGAGGACTGAACTAGGCAAAATGACCTTCTCCTACTCTGCTCCTGTTTCCTGGAATATCTTACAAAAAGATCTGAAGTTCTCGACCTTGACCTCTCTAAGTGGCTTTAAACATCTGCTAAATTCCTGGCAAGGACCAATGCAGGCATGTTCCTGTTTTTAGTTTTCTTCACTGCATCGTAATCTAGCTGTTTTTTCACTACTTTTCCTTTTAATTACCATTTTGTTTTCACTTTAAAAGATAAAATTGTACGCATCCTTTTTGATTGTCTATTGTTGTTGTTGTCCACTGTTGTCATCACTCTTTTAAAATTCAGGTCTCTTGTAAATGAGTCCCCGAGGTTCAGTGGGATTAACCTGTATAAATAAAGGTTGAATTAATGAAAAGTATGCTCAAATTGTTTCACAACACAACTGATGCCCTCATTTACCTGCACTCACACATTCATACAGCACTCTACTACATCTCTACAATCCAACAATTCATTCTATAGAGATTTATCAGTGCTTTTAGATCACATTCATACACCGATGGGACACACAGAGTCAGTGAGGGGTTCAGCGTCTTGTCCAGGGACAATCCGACACGTGACTGCTAGTGGAATTGAACCCCCAACTCTCCCATTGGAGGGCCAACGCTCTAACCACTCAGCCACAGCTATCTCAAATATAAATATAATATATTATAAATATATTTAAACTGCTTCAATTGACGCAGAAACTCATCTTCAGCATCCAGTTTGCCTGATAAAACAACTTGTATGTGGACGCATGTTGTGTGCATTTCGCACTGCAGGTAGATTTGACGTGCACAGAAAGTAAATGTAAGGCTATCTTTGTTTTTATTATTTATTTATTTTAATTAAAAAACATCATATTGACATAGTGTTTGATTGTGCTGATGATGTTTACATCAGCTGATAGGAAACAGCTAAGGTTGTGGTGGGGAGATGTTATGTGGACCAAGAGAG